CCGTGTTTCCCCCCTTTGGGGGGGCCCTCTGGGAGGCCCTGCTGGATTCGCTTCGGAATTCTGATCAGAACGCACCCTGGGGGGGGTCTGGGGAGTAAGGAGGAGGAGGAGGAGGAGGAGGAGGAGGAGGAGGAGGAGAAGGAGGAGGAGGAGGAGGAGGAGGAGGAGGAACTCTCTACGTAGGTTCGGGGCTACCCTACAAAGCCCTGGGCCGCCACCACCACCCCACTTATCACCCTCCCCCCCTTCCCAGACCCCCGACGTCATGATGTTTTCCATCGCGCCGGCCCCATGGGAAGGTCTCGCCCCATTTCCCGGGGGCCGGCTCCGCCGAGCCGAGCGCTCTGCGCGGGCCTGCAGAAGTTCCTGTCATCGCCGTCGTCGTCGATGTCGTCTGTCGTCTGTCGTCGTCGTCGTCCTCGTCGTCGATGTCGTCGTCGTCGTCGTCGTCGTCGTCGTCGTTGTCGTCGTCGTCGTCCTCGTCGTCCTCGTCCTCGTCCTCGTCCTCGTCCTCGTCCTCGTCCTCGTCGTCGTTTCTCTGCTGCCGTGCCCGCGGGAGGAGGCGGCCGCCCGCGCCTCGAGGCGCTCCCGGGGGGCAGACGAACCCCTGGCCCCAACAGCATGCCAAGGCGCCTCGAGAGAGTCTCCTCCTCCTCATCCTCCTCCTTCTCCTTCCCTGCTCCTCCTCCTCCTCCTCCTCCTCCTCCTTCGCTCCTCCTCCTCCTCCTCCTCCTCCTCCTCCTTCTCCTCCTGCTCTCCAACCTCCTTCGGGACGACGCAGACATCGGGCTTCTCGACCAAGTCGAGACGGAGGTGTCGCGTCGTGTTCGGCCCTTTCGGGGCCCTCGCGGGACCTCGGGACCGCCAAACAACGGCGCTCGGGATGAAAAGCCGGCCCCGGGGCAGCGGTCGGGAGGTCGGTGGCCCGTGTTTCGAAAAAATCGAGACGTCGGATGTTTGGGTAGTGAAGACGTGGCCTCACTATGGTCCCCGTCTTTGCAGGATACTGGTTCTGGGCGGCTTGGTCTGGCGATCTGCAGAAAAGGAAAGTTCCCTGTCCCTGATTACATTGGCCGTCCTAGTTTCGGTCCCATCCCAAAGGGTCAGGGGTTAGGGGTATTATTATTGCTGATCAGAGGCAGCTCGGGCTGGACCCGGACGAGCTGGCGGGGGCGCTGAAGCGCAAGAAGGTGAGGGTGCCTGGCAGGAGCTCCTTCCACGAGGTCCGGGCGTCGCGTAATCGGGTACTGGGTGGGCGATACATGGGGGCAGCGAGGGCTGCAGAAAGGGGGCCCCTTGGAGCCCCGAAAGGGAGCCTCTCGGGCCTCAAAGGGGGCCCTGAGGGCCCGAGAAGTGCACCTGTCTCCCCTCCCTCTTTTGCCCCCCCATTCAGCGACGCCCAACAGGTTCAGAGAAGAACCAGCTGCCCTTGCCGTGTTTCCCCCCTTTGGGGGGCCTTCTGGGAGGCCCTCGTCGCCACTGCTGGATTTGCTTCGGAATTCTGATCAGAACGCCCTCTGGGAGAGGTCTGGGGAGTAAGGAGGAGGAGGAGGAGGAGGAGGAGGAGGAGGAGGAGAAAATCTCTATTCAGGTTCGGGGCTATCCTACAAAACACTGGGTCGTAGCCCAAATATTTCACGCCCTCTTTTCCAAGGTTAGGGGCAAACCTTAAACACCTTTTTGCAGCGCACAGAATTATTGCAGCTCGTGCAATACATTTCTCCTCCTTTCCCCGCGCGGCTCTTTGACACGATGGTGGTATCTTACCATGTGCAGTTTTGGGATTACCCTACAAAGCCCTGGGTAGCGGCCCCAGGATTGCCTTTTTTATGTCATTGCGCAGTTCACGCTCTACCTCACCTAGCTACTCTTGGAGGCGGTGGTTCACTGATCTTGGCCGTAGCGGAGGAGGAATTCTATACTCAGGTTCGGGGCGAACCTACAAAACCTTGGGCCGCAGCCCAAACATTGTACGCTCTTCATTCGGAGGTTAAGGGCAAGCTTTTTCAACTCTATTGCAGCGCACAGTGCACGTGCTCATGCAGCCTCGGACACAGCCAGGCAGCAACACTTTCTGGCCGCAGCCAATTTTTCGGTACACGATGGCCGCAAACTCCAGCCCAAGTGTACCAGCTTTCCTCTGCAGTATGGCACCCTGCCTGACCTGCAATACGCATCTCACCTTGCTGCTCTTGGAGGCGGTAGCTTACTGAAGCGGTACCGGAGGAGGAATTTACTACACAGGTTCGGGATTACCCTACAAAGCCCTGGGTAGCAGCCCGAAGATTGCACGCCAATTTTCGCGCAGGTTAGGGGTAAACCTTAAAAACCCTCTTGGAGCGCACAGAGTACTGGCAGCACGGCAGCAGCACCGTCATTCGCAGCAGCAAGTCTGCACACACTCTCATTGTTTCTTTTTGCTGCTACGTGAGCGGTCTGCCAACGCACGAGCCCGAGCAATACAGCCTGCGCAGAGTGTACTGACTACGGCTTACGTGCTGGCGGAGGTGGTGGATCACTTGTTGATGTGAGGGTTGCGGAGGAGGATCTATACTTAGGTTCGGGGTTACCCTACAGAACCCGAGGTCGTAGCGCAATATTGCAAGCTCTCTTTTTGAAGGTTAGTGGTACACCTTAAAAACCCAATTGCAGCCCAAACATTGCACGTTCTTCTTTGAAGGTTAGGGGTAAACCTTTAAAATCTACTGCAGCACTCACCTTGCGCACTTGCGTCCCCACAGGGGCTGATCCCTACGCTGTCTTTAGATGTGGCTGTGGAGAACGCTCTCTTTCCTTGTTACTTTTGCACTGTTCGCAGCATGTACCTGTTGAACATTGTTTTTGTTGACGTTGCATGGTATTCTTGTTCGGGTCTCCTGCAATAAGGTCTGCGTTACCTGGCGGGCGCCTGCTATTCTACCTATGTTCTGTTCCACTGTCTCTCTTTACCGCCTTAGCCTCGGCGCCCGCCAGGTACCTTTGCGCCGAGCCATTTGCACTTCCATTATTTTCTGAAGCACTTCAAGAACGCAACACGCGTAAGCGTAAGGTCTGGCCAAGTCAAAGAGGAGGAGGACACGCACATGGCTTGGGGGGTGTTCGATGTCCGCCGCGAGAGAGCGCGGCCGACTATGGAGGGCTTAGTGCCTCCTCTCCCTGGGTCTTGGCACGCTCCTCGCGCACCAACTGGGCCAGGGGAATAGCGGGGGTCTTAAAAACGATCGGGGACGACTTTGTGCCCTTAGGATCTCGACCCTCCTGGACGCGGGCTAGCTGAGTGGCCGCTCCTTGGTGGCTCACTCTAGTGCTGCACGCACTAGCGAGCCCTCGACCCAACCCTTCAGAGAAGGATCCACACTTATGGCAAACCAAGATACTCGTCGGGTGATCAAGGTGCTCGTAGTAAAACAAATCATGGCCTTTATTATCATGCACAAGATCGGAGAGCTGCTTACAGTGGCCTGGGCAATGCTGGGCCTGTAAGACTCCCCGCTGTTTGAAAGACTTGGTCTGCACTCTACACAGGATGCACCTGTGGTACTGGTGAATGAGAGCCCATGTGTGGTACCTGAAGGGCTCTCTGGGCTCCTCGTGGGGCACAGGAGGAGGCGGAGGGGGGGGGAGGCTCGACCGACGACGGCGGCGTCCACGACGAAAGGGCAGAGGCGGCACCCGAGGGGGGAGAACAACTCTTCTCTGGGGCGGCCAAAGCTTTGTTGCGGTGAGGGGCGATCGCGGGCCACTCTCCCAGAGCCTGCGCAACATACTTCAAATATCGCACGAGAAACTTCCGACTGTCAGTGAAATCGCTTTTCTCTGCTTCACTGGGCTGCATTCCTTTAAAAGCGGCGGCCTTGGCAATGCGGTCAGCAGTACTATTACCTTCGGCCAACCTTCTCTCTTCACTGCCTTCTGAGAGGGCCTGCAAATCTTGGTGAGCCTTGACCTTACGCAGGCGCTGGCCGAGGGGGAACTGGCTCCTGCCAGCCAACACCTTACACCCAGCCCACACGTTGTGCCGAGGGTACTCAGACCCTTGGTGCAGAGACAGAACTCCTTTATAATCAGAGTAAATGACTTCAACAGCCCTAGAAAGAATACTGGCCGCAACAGCGGCCAGATGCTCCGCGGCACCCGAGGTTTGTAAAAACATCTGGCCGACTCGGCCACTGAAATGGGCAAACGCTTCACCGTTACGCATACAGACAACCGCGAAACCTGCGGCGTTGAAAACATAGTGACCGTGGTTAGTGCAACTACCATCTATATACACTTCCCCTTCGCTGAAAGCCTCCTGAGGGGTGATCCCCTCCTGAGCACACCAAAACTCCCCAAACTCCAGGCCCGAACCAGGAGGGTTCTCTCCACGATACTCGGGGACCAGCTGGAAACCGAGATACTGGGGCAGGGTCTGGGGAGGAGGCTCTCTTAAATTCTGAAGCTCCGCTGCCGGGAAGTGAGTGGTTCTGAGATTCTCTGTCTTCGGGCAGTAAAGTATGCGGTGGCCGAGGTTGTCCGAATGGTGGCCGCACTCGCAGCCAGTCTCGACTTCGTATCCTGCTGCCTTGGCTCTGTCCATAGTCCATATACTCTGAGTGAGGAAGGCGGGGAGGGTTCCCTTCTGGTGGCCAAGGAGGTCTGGCGATGACAGAGCAGCACGGGCAGCAACCACATCTAACTGGGCGTTCGGGTGGCCGATCTTCTCGGCCGCCTTGGAAGCGAGCTGGCCGTGCCAGTCGAACTCCATGAGCTTTTGGAGGAGGGCGGGGGAATGTCCTGGGAGAGGGTACTCAATGCCTGAGGAGGTCACAAAAGTAAATGGTCCCTGGAATTTCCAACCGATCCTTTTGAGCGAAAGCACCGCGGCGCTGAGGGGGCCCCTGGAGGAGCCCCAAGATTTAGCAACTCTCGGGAGGATGGCCCCAGCCCAAACACGCAACTGCTGGAGACTGGTCACGGCGAGGTGGGGGCGGGTGGCGGCGTCCCAAACCAGGCGGTGCCACATAATGGCGGGGCCCAGGGCAGCTTTCCACAAGGGGTCCTTGAGGATGAGCAGAGCCAAACTGCGGCTGCGCGTCGGGCAACGGGGCCCCGCAGCAGCCAAAAACTGCGACCTAGCTGCTTCCAACTGCGTGCCATTGATGCCAGTCACCTCGACTCCGAACGTGGCGGCCGCCTCGAGGCCAGTCCTATACAACTTATGAGTGTTACCCCCCAGCTCTCTTGAGCATGCGAACCCTGTTAAGTCTTTTACGCATCTTATCAAGACGCTCCGAAATCTTACGCTGCTTTCTCCATCGGCGTTGGGGCCGTCCAGCCCCAGTTTCACAACCCAGGTTAGGTCCAGACCTATCCGCGTTCGGGCCCGCCAGAGGCCCGAGGGCCGTCCTGAGTTGATCCTGAAGGGCTTGTTGGGACGCCAGGACCTGACTTTTCTTACTGGCGATCTGGCACTTAAACTCATTGATGATGCAGTCTGCCATGGACCTGGCAGCAATATTGAGCTGGCTGGCGATGAGGCTGCAACTGCGGCCGTGGCACTGGAGCAGCAGATCATCTATAAACATCGCGAGCCTGATATGACAATGCGCCTGCGTCCACACGTCGAGCGGGGCGAGCACATACATTTGCACAAGATAGGTGGCCCAACTGCATCCTGCGGCTATGCCCCTCCAAGGCTTGCCTACACTGACTGCACAATCTTGTAGAGCAACTATGCGTTCACTGGCATTTTGAGATAATATGATACGCAATAAACAACACGGGAAACCTGATTCAACGGCACGGTAAGCAAGACAAGGCCGATCAACATGTTCGTAGTAGTTAGATAAATCGTAGAGAACTTGGGCACTATATTGTTGATCTTTGTCAGAGCTGTTGAACTCGCATTCCAAGGATTGTTTGTATACTAATTCCACTATGGAGTGGCCAGCCTGATGAGCAAGGTACGGCCTGCGGTGGTGTGCCTCCCACTCTCTGGCCGCTGACCTCCTGAGCCTAGCCCAGACTCTGTGCAAAGCTGGGAGCATGCCAATGGACCTGAACGAAGGCTGGCTGGCTGGGGCATCATGCTGTTTCAACTTCATCATCAGAGTCGATACGATGCCTTGGAGCTGGGTTGGCATATGTCCAATCTTTTCAAGCAGGCCCATACAATCGCAGACAATCTCTGCCTGTTCGTTATTCAACATACTGAAATGCCTAGGGTGGAAACCGTCCCAGGTAGAGGCAGTGGCATGGGGAAAACTTTTCGCAACCTGTCGTAATCTCTTGGGGCTGATGGGGCCCAGGGCAATTCGATCATCTCTGTCAGGAACGAGCTGTGGTGGGGTATCCTGGGAAACCTGCCATATTGTTGCCGGACGATCGGCTTCTGCCTGCAATATATGCTGGGGCCTGCCAGAATACTGTGACTTAAATGGAACTGACGAGGGCCTCCAGGCCTCCAAACGCTTGGTCCATCTGTGAGCCCATCCCATTCCTCCCTTCATGTTGTCCTGAACCCAATCCCTCCATGCCTTCCCGTCTCCAGCGTTCTCTGCCGCCTGCTCCTGATGCAGGAGCTTGGTGACGTGCTCTAGCAGCTCGTCCAGAACCTGGATCGCCAGCGCCTGGTTCAGGGCACCAGCGCTGAAATCAACGTGCACCAGACCTGCAGCAACTCTAATCTCTTGCAGCCCCTCCTTGAGGGACACGACGGTGGTGAGCCAGCTCAGGGCAATCCTCTAAGCTGTCGAGAGCGTCCTGAAACTCAGTGAGATTCCAGTCCTGAACACATCTATGGAAATCTTGAATCCTATTGATGAGCCATCTCAACGGGCCCGTGTAGGCCACCCATTTAGCCCTACTCCTAGCAGCCTTGGCCTCAGCGGGGACCATAAGAACCTGAGGGGGGTGGGCCCTGGGGTACTTGCTAGGCTTGAGGGGGGTGTTAGTTTTCTTACTGATTGTAGCTTCCAAGTCCTGGGCCAAGCTGAAATACACGTGGTCCAGGAGCACCGACTGCTGTTGATCGCTGAGCGGCCGTCGAGCATCATCGATCAATAGTGAAGCGTACTCCAATGCAGCAGCTGGCTGGTGCCAACTCACTTCTGGCAATTGCGGGCCCACAGGGATACGTGTGGGTAGCTTCTGGGGCCTATGCAGCGTGGGGATATTAAAGTTATTCTCAACTACAATATCTAGCAGCACAGGTCTGTGAGGGGAGAGAGGATACGAGGAAAGAGTACGGGGGTTACTGAGCCACGGCGAGAGGCCTTGGCTAGACAGGAAATAATCTAGAGTGGATTTGGTCTTCTTGTTTCTGTAGGTGGCGGTCGGCGGCACAAGCAGGGTCATCGTGGACCTGGACAGAAACTCCGCTTGGGCCAACCGAGAGGGGGCCAGGTTAAAATCCCCCGCAACCAAAACTGGATGGGTCAAATCATCCTGAAGTTGGCCTATGGCGGCCAGAAGTTTTAAATTGGTCTCGGGGAGACCAGCAGCAGCCTGAAAGTAGGTACTACATATGGCGAACTTCGGGACCCCAGGAAGTTCAAGCAGCACCCCCGATAATCGAGCGGGGTCGAAAGCGGCAGAGAAAGTGATCGGCTGGACCCCCAGGTCCAAGCCATCCCGAATCAAAATCGCAACTCCCGAAACCAACTCATTATTCTCACTCGTGGCTGCAGGCGTGATGTAAGCCAGCCACCCCTGGGCCGAGCACCATTGTATCTGACGCACAATGCTATCTCCGCCGGCAAGCTTACACTCCTGAGCACAGATGATCGTGACTGCACTAGACTGCGGCGAAAGAACAAACTTGCGAACAGCAGGCCAGCAGGAACCATTGATAGTAGCGATCTTATAAGTGTTACCCTGGCGGCTTCTGGCCCTGGGCGGCCGCGAGCGCCGCAGCCTCGGCCGCCGCCTTGACCCTCTTGGTCTCGGGGCCTGACTCACTCTGGATCTTGGCCATGCCCTGGGCGACCTCGGACAGCGCAGCAGCCGCACGGCGGCGGCCTTCAGACGTGTCCATGGCCTGCGCCTCTGCCATGGTCTCCAGCTCCTTGTCGTCGGCAGGAGTGGGGACGTGCTGGCCTGGGATAGGCGCGGGCGTCTGACTTGCCTGGCCATCATCAGGGCTCTCTCCAACTGCAGGGAAGCCGTCGATGATGACCCCGCGCGGGGCCGCCGCCGCAGGCGGGCCGCCACCTGCTGGCGCGCCCGAGGCCTGGGATGCGACGTGTTGCTGCTGCAAGGTGTCGAACATGGCGGCCAGCTCCGATACTTTGTCTCGTAGTTCAGGTGGGGCCAGTCCTCCCTGTGGCATTCTGGCGGATATAACTCCCTGAATGGTGGTGAGCAAATCTTCAGCTTTGGATGCCTCATACGCAGCCGCCTGGGTGGCCGCATTGAGCTGTGTCTCCAGCGTTTGCACTTCTTTTGAATTAGCTTCGATCTCCTCGACCAGCTTGCCGTGATATTCACTTGCCTCGACAATTGTGGTGACCAGCTCGCTGGCCTCCTGCTTCTGCGACTGCAACCTCTGGCGCAACACCTGGAGCTGATCTGACAAGGATTGTGCTTGCTGCTCCAGGCTCTTGGCTGACAACGCCTGCGCCTTGGCGAACTTGAGCTTGCCCAACGCCGCCTTGTGCTCCTCTCCATCTGGCTTCCACTTCTTCCAGAAGGTGACTTGAGCTTGAGCCAGGGCGACTGGGTCGTCAGCGGGAACTGCATCCTCGAAGGTGACCACTCGGCCGCCTCCGCGCCCCAAGCCTGGTGGGCGCTCTGGACCGCGGGAGCCTTTCCTCCAGCGTCCTGGCTTGGCGGGCTCCTCCTCGACGTCAGGCCGAACATCCTGGGGGCCACCTCCACCACCTTGGGGTCGAGCTGGGGGACCGTGATCCCCGCCCTGCTTGAAACGGCTGCCACACTGCATACAATGACGAGAATTCGTCGAGCACCAAGCCCAGCCTTTGCAGCCCCGCTTCGAGCAGACCATGTACTTCTTCTGCTGCTGGGCGGGCATCTCCTGATGGCGGCACGCTGGCGCACGCACACGAGAGGCCCTATGGCAGCACTGATGCGGGACGTGATTGTGCCTCTGCCTGGGGCTGACCAGGCAGGCACGAGGGCAGAGCAAACAAGCTTGGGCCCCAGCACCCAGGGCCTGCCCTGGATGGCAATGCTGAGACCTGCACCTCCCGCGGTGTGCTCAGGTCTTGAGCCAATCAAAGAGGAGGAGGAGGAGGAGGAGGAGGAGGAGGAGGAGGAGGAGGAGGAGGAGGAGGAGGAGGAGCGGCATCGGTGCCTTTCGGTTTACCCCGAGGTCCCGCGCACCGAGGCGCAGTTCCGCCAGGCCCTGCAGAGCCTGATCAAGGCCCGGGAGGGACGGAGCGCACGGATGGCACGCCGCCGTGGTGAGCGCATCGGCGTGTTATTGCTGAGGGCCGCTTCCTACCTCCTCTTCTCTGCCTAATTCAAGCTTCGCGCGGCCCGCTTAGCTTCGACCGGAAGAGGTGCGCTTTCGACCCGCGGATAAAAGAAAAGCGTGTTCCTGGTGAGGGGACATCAATCAGGCTTTCGGCCAAAAGCGAAGGAGCATCACGCTGATGTGTGTTCGCCCCGCCGCCTTCACTGATCCTGGTGCTGTGGCGATGGCATTATCGGTGACCGGCCGCGCGGCGACCACGCCGCATGGTGAGTCAGTGGGGTCGACCGCACTGTCTGGGGATTCGGGTCGTTCTCCGAGAACGCCTCGGGCGCGTGAAGCCTCCGAGGTCCCAAAGTAGAAGGTCCCTTTAGCGATTTGCCTGCTTTGGCTGGGATGATTTAGCCTGCTCTGGCTAGTCTCCCGGGCTCTGCAGGGGGTACTTCCATTCCTTCCACGGGCGCCGTAGAAAGGTTTGTGCGGCTAGCGCCGTGGGGCCAAAGGCCTTGGGTTCCAAGGTGGCCGCGCGGTCCGTCAACGCACCGCCTAGGGACCCCCGCGAGGCCCTCTACACGCGGCTGTTCGAGGGCATCGTCCGCCAGATCAACCAGTCCCTCCACGCGCCGGCAGCCCCAGCTGGCGGCGAGGCGAGGTGCGGGACGGGCGCCGCCGCCGTCGGCGGCGAAGACCTGCCGCACATCGGCGTCCTCGACATCTACGGCTTCGAACGCCTGGAGCACAACAGTTTCGAGCAGCTCTGCATCAACACGGCCAACGAGAGGCTGCAGCAGCTGTTCGTGGAGCGGGCCATGCGCGCAGAGCAGGCGTTGTACAGGCGCGGGGGGGGGGGGATTCCCTTTTCGTGTCTTCCCTCCGCCTTTCGCCTCTTGCTCCCAGACCTCTAACATTCTGAAACAATCACCCAGAGGGCTGCCTGGCGCAATCGTGCGCCGCGCCCCTGTGCCCATCTTTGCGCCCCTCTCAGTTTGTCTCTTTTGTTTTGTCTGCGCCCCTGGCCCAAAGTATGAGAGCTGGGCCCAAAGTCAAGTTTGAAAAAGTTATGTTGTTCTTTCATGGGTGGGCCCAAGAAGGCGCCCGCCATGACAGGATCTCGATCCGATTGTTGCCCCCCCCGCCGGTTGCAGTCATGCCCCCCCGGTCCCAAATATTGATTAGGCTCCCCCCCGTTGCAGCGTTGTTTTTTTAATCTAATGGTGCGTTTCACGTTATATGTTTATTGTATATATTGTGTACTCTTGTTGCAAGATGTCCGCTCGCTCTGTAGGCACACACTCTTCACAACAACCTTAAGAACTATCCCCAATCCTTGACCCCAATTCCTAACACCCGCATCCCCCCAAGACGCTAACCCTGATTCTCCAACGCCCTACGCAATTGCCCGAAACATGCACCCAATCGCCAGCACCCAATCTCTAATCTCGAACCCGCCAGCGCTGTGCACTGTCTCGAAACTTGGAACCCAACCATGCACGAATATAAAACGCGTAAAATCTAGGCCGACCATGGGCCCAATTTTTGAACGTTGAACAGCAGCCCAACTCCGAACACCTAAGACGCGACCTCCCGAGCCCTCACCCCCTAACTTTGATCCTTCCGCCCCGAATCAAACCACGTGTCCAATTCTACGTTTTAGACATCAACCCAGGAACCCCAAGTCTGACGTCCGAACTCAAGACCAAACAGTAACCCGAACCCTCTGACACCGTAATGCCCAATTCTAGTCCGAACACCCTAGTAACAAGTCCGACGCACTAACAGTAGCGCCCTTAACCCGAACACCCGAGCACTAACACCCTGACCATTGAACTGAACCATCACACTTTGAATCCACCCGCGTCATCACTGAAAGCACCATCATTCCATGCACGGGCCCGAGCCGAGCATATTAGACGGACTCCCGAACACCCCCGAAGTCTACCCCCCCAAACTGGCACAATGATCCTAACACCATCATGCATTAGCCTGCCCCGAGTTTTGACCCCAACGCGTGATCCTGACCCTAGGCCCGACCACACCCACCCATATTTCTCAAGCCTTAACACCTCATCCCACGCGCCTCTCACCCTAAACCTGACACCCTAATCCCGAGCCTAAGCACTACACCTATCCCGGACACAGTAGTAAGACCATTTCTCGAACACGCCAACCGTAAGCCGCGACCACAATCAGAAACCCTAGCCATAAGCCTTGACACCCTTACCGAAACCCCGTAACGCGCAAGACTAAACCTACGCCCTAATACCGTAAGGCCTAGCACCCCAAGCAGTCACCCCAACCGTAAGCCGTGACACGAATCCATAATTGTTAGGTCTATTGTCCCTAAACCCTGGTACTATGTGTAGTCCGAATGCCCTCATCCCTGGGCGTGCGGACCCGTTGTGGGCCCGTTTCTGCTCGACGGGGGGTCCTTGGCGGGGGGTCCTGGGCGAAAGCTTTCGGCGAGGGCGCCCCCGAACCCTCACTCTTATCCGCAAGTGCGGGATGCTACGTAACTATCCTTACAGCGGGGGCCCGTGGCAAGAAGCACCCTGCTTGCTTCCAGGGTGCCCTGGGTTTCTTTGGTTTCGGTGGTTTTCCTAAGGGAAGCGTGACGCTCCCACACCAGACATCCACGGACGTCCTGCGGTCTCAGTGTTGGGTTTTTTGTGGAAGGGCTCTTGCGGACTGGCCTCCACTGTAGCCACAAACGCTACCGCGAACCCGCAATGCGTTCACCCCAACCCCCAAAGCCTAAGAACAAACATCAATACGAGCACTAAGTCCTAACATCCAACTGCCCTGACCCGAAGCACTGACTCCAACCCTCAGGGTTAAGCATGAACCCTAAAACTGTTTCCCAAACCCTCCGACACCCTAGTATCAGCTCCCACGCGGCGGACGTTGGGGTGGTTGTGGACCTTACAGCGGTGATTGTGGACCCTACAAAGCGTGTCGGGCGGATCCTGATGGGCGGGTCGGGCGGGCGGGCCCGCTTTATAGGTGGGTCGTGCGGGCGGGTTGTTCAGGCGGGTGGGCTTCGAAGCCATGCTGTTCGGATCGGCGGACAGTGTGGGACTCAAGGCAAATGCGCGTGCAGATCCCAGCGGGCGGGTCGGGCGGGCGGGTCGTTCGGGCGGGCGGGTCGGGCGGACTCTAGCATGCGGGTCGTGCGGGCGGACCTTGATGGACGGGTCTGGTGGGCGGGTCCGGCGGACCCTGACAGGCGGGTCGGGCGGGCGGACTTCAGGGTGAGACGACAACGACGGCGACGGGTGACGATTACGACGAGCGGCGACGACGACGACGTCGACAACGACGATGATGACGACGACGAGTGACGACAAGTGGCGACGAACGACGACGGCGCTGACAATGACAACACCAAGTGACACCACGAGAAACAACGACGACGGTCAGGAGTTACGACGAGTGACGACGACGAAGAGCGACGACGGCGACGACGGAGACGATTGGCGTCGACGAAGACGGAGGTGACGATCGACGACGACGACGACGACGACCAGCACGAAACAGACGACGACGACGACAACGAACGACGACGACCAGCGACGACTACATCGACGAATGGCGGTGGTGCCGAACGGTGGAGGACGACTAGCGACGACGACGACGACGAGTAGCGAAGAGTGAGGACGAAGAGGACAGCGAGTGACGAGGCCGAGTGACAGGCGACGACACGAGGACGAGTACGTCTACGACGAGAAACAACGAGGGATGTCGACGGCGAGGGGCGAGCGACGACGAATGACGACGAGGACGGGTGTCGGCGACTACCACGAGTAACAGCTATCAAACGGGTCGGGACGATGACGAGACACGATGACCAGTGACAAAGACGACGACGAAGAGAGACGACTAGGAGTGACGACAATGAGGGGCGAGCAGTGACGAGTAAGGACGACGACGACGACGACGATTACGGTGACGACGGCGACCACGGTGAGTGCTTCCGACGACGTTAAGGCACGAACGCCTTCGACGACGGGTAGCGGGCAACGGCGACAACCACGACAACGTCGACGACGAGCATTGGTGGCAAACGGCGTCCAGTGATGACGACAGCGGCGAGAGCGGCGACGAACGATAGTTGCCGACGGCGGCCAGTGACGACGGCCCGCGACGGTGACCAGTTACGACGACAATTGCCCAGAAGGACAAGTCACGGAGGACGGGAGACAAGCGTCGACGACGTCAACAACAACCAGTCTCCACGACTTTAACGGCGACGAGGAGTGGCGATGAAAAGTGACCACGTCGAGACGAGCGACGACGACGACGATGACAGCCACGACGACGACGAGCACCACGACGACGACGACGCCGCCGACGAGTACGCTGCTGACGACGCCGCTTCTAGCGAAAACGGTCTCAGCAGTCAGAGGATCCGCGTTCGAGCAGCGCTGGCAGCGTCGGAGCAGCTCCGGACACATGCCAAGGAGGAGGAGGAGGAGGAGGAGGAGGAGGAGGAGGAGGAGGAGGAGGAGGAGGAGGAGGAGGAGGGGAGGAGGAGGAGGGAGGAGGAGGAGGGGAGGAGGAGGAGGAGGAGGAGGAGGAGGAGGAGAGGGAGGAGGGAGGAGGAGGAGGAGGAGGAGGAAGAAAAGGAAAAGGAGGAGGAGGAGGCAGGCCGCAGGGAGCGCGTGCAGACCCCAGCGACGGCAAAGCAGAACTCCAGGGGCACCTGCAAGCAGCGGGCCCCCGACCGCTCTCACGGGCGCAGGCCCTGCGCCCCCGGCGAGCTCCCAGGGTCGGCCTCCTCCTCCTCCTCCTCCTCCTCCTCCTCTCCCTCTCTCCTCCTCCTCCCTCTCCTCCCTCTCCTCCTCTCTCCTCCTCCTCCTCCTCCTCCTCCTCCTCCTCCTCCTCTCCTCCTCCTCCTCCTCCTCCTCCTCGTCCTCCTCCTCCTCCTCCTCCTCCTCCTTCTCCTCCTCCTCCTCCTCCTCCTCCTCCTCCTCCTCCGCGGGAAACAACATGAAGTGCTGCAGCCCCCTTGGAGGCAATAGTCTGGAGGGCGGGAGGGAAGCGTGCAGAGGGTGCGCAGGAGGAACTGAAGAGGGCCCGGGGGAGACAGGTACAAGGGAAAGGCGACAAAACCGCCCAGACGCCCGACGCCGCGAATTTGCTCACAGCGTGGGCCCTCCAGAAGTCTAGACTCTAGACCCTTTCCCAGGGACCGTTTTTGCATCCCGAGCTGTGTTCTGATTGCCCCCGTGGCCAAAAGTTGCCACAAACCTTCTGTCGTTCTGTCGTGGCTTTTGTCGCGGCGCGAGGGGCTTTGGGTACAGGAGTGGAGGGGACAAACACTGGCGACGATGCGAGGGAAACAATTAAAGTCAGGCGGACGGCAACGGGGGACAATAAAAACGTGGAGGGGTCGGGTAGCCCAAGCGGCCCCTCGGCCGCCGCCGCGTGCACGACAGGTGCACGCTTTGCACGCTTCTCCCTGCGTTGACGAACACCCGGTGAATGACACAGTCTCAGGGGGAAGCGTCAAAGAGCCCCCTCCTCCTCCTCCTTTTCCTCCTCCTCCTCCTCCTCCTCCTCCTTCTCCTTCTCCTCCTCCTCTTCCTCCTCCTCCTTGCCCTCCCCCTTCCCCCTCCGCCTCCCCCTTCCCCCTCCCCCTCCCCACCCAGGCGCGAGGGCCTGCAGTGGCAGGAGCTGGATCTGCCCGACGCGCAGCCCGTCGTCGACTGCATCTCGCAGGTCTTCCACGTCCTGAACGACAGCGGGCAGCAGCAGGCCAGAGGCATGGACACGGCCAGCGACGAGCGGTTCTGCCAGAACGCCCTGGAGGACTCCGGGGAGGGCGGCTTGCGACAGCGGCGGCTGGCCCTCGAGGGGGGCACCCCTCGTCGCCGCGGCTGGACGCAGCTCGGAGGACGGGTGCGTGTTGGACCACGGGAGTGGTCCAGGGACCGATTTCGCGCAGCCGTTGTCTTCACGCCCCATGGAGGATTCGATGTCTGCGAGGGGCACCGCGAGCCAATAAAGGAGGAGGAGGAGAAGGAGGAGGACGACGACGAGGAGAAAGAGAGGAGGAGGAGGAGGAGGAGGAGGAGGAGGAGGAGGAGGAGGAGGAGGAGGAGGAAGAGAAGCAGGAGGAGAAGTAGGAGAACGATGTCTTGCTGCGGAAACGCAGAGTTCCAGAGCACCGCGCGGGCTTCTTGGAGCTTCGCTGGGCGCCCCTGGCGGCGCGCCGCCCCCCGGCGCGCTCCGCGCGCCAGGGAGGGGGGCGGCAGCGCCGATCCAAGAAATCCGCACGGACATCCGACAGCGCGTCTTTCTGCAATCATAGTAGTAGTAGTAGTAGTAGTAGTAGTAGTAGTAGTAGTAGTAGTAGTAGTAGTAGTAGTAGTAGTAGTAGTAGTAGTAGTAGTAGTAGTAGTAGTAGTAGTAGTAGTAGTAGTAGTAGTAGTAGTAGTAGTAGTAGTAGTAGTAGTAGTAGTAGTAGTAGTAGTAGTAGTAGTAGTAGTAGTAGTAGTAGTAGTAGTAGTAGTAGTAGTAAGTAGTAGTAGTAGTAGTAGTAGTAGTAGTAGTAGTAGTAGTAGTAGTAGGAGTAGTAGTAGTAGTAGTAGTAGTAGTAGGAGTAGTAGTAGTAGTCGTAGTAGTAGTCGTAGTAGTAGTAGTAGTAGTAGTATTAGTAAGTAGTAGTAGTAGTAGTAGTAGTAGTAGTAGTAGTAGTAGTAGTAGTAGTAGTAAGTAGTAGTCGTAGTAGTAGTAGTAGTAGGTAGTAGGAGTAGTAGTAGTAGTAGTAGTAGTAGTAGTAGTAGTAGTAGTAGTAGTAGTAGTAGTAGTAGTAGTAGTAGTAGTAGTAGTAGTAGTAGTAGTAGGAGTAGGAGTATAGTAGTAGTAGTAGTAGTAGTAGTAGTAGTAAGTAGTAGTAGTAGTAGTAGTAGTAGTAGTAGTAGTAGTAGTAGTAGTAGTCGTAGTCGTAGTAGTAGTAGTAGTAGTAGTAGTAGTAGTAGTAGCCGTAGTAGTAGTAGTCGTAGTAGTAGTAGTAGTAGTAGTAGCAGTAGTAGTAGTAGTAGTAGTAGTAGTAGTAGTAGTAGTAGTAGTAGTAGGAGTAGTAGTAGTAGTAGTTTATAATACTACTAATAATACTAATGATGATAATAACGATAACAAAAATAATAGTAATAAAAACAGTAACAATCATAATCATACTAATAATAATAATAACAACAATAATCGTACTTTATAAGAATAATGCAAAGAAGAATAAGAGTAATGCTACGACTACGAATACCAATACTGATACTATTATTTATATGGTTATCCAAGGACGCCGCGAGGGACCCGGCCCGCAGGGAGATCCTGAAGAAGCTCAGGGTCGCCTGCAAGCGGCGGTCCACGGGCCGCCCGGCGCTGCACCGGGGCTTCACCGTGGAGCACTACGCCGGGCCGGTGGACTACGGCACCGAGGGGTGGCTGGACAAGAACGACGACCGGCTGCTGCCCGAGTGCGAGTCGCTCATCTGTGAGTCCTCCTTCCCGCTGGTGCGCTCGCTGGGGAGGGAGGAGCGTCGTCTTCAAGATGCTATTGTCTTCATGCGTACGTCTACGGAACCTCAATTTACTGTCAGGACTTGTCTAGCCAACAGCCGTTTTGGATTCTTCACGGCAGAGGCACTCTGCTTCCTAGCGGCGTTGGGTGCGGGCCCGCGGGGGGGGTCCCCGCGGCACCGGCTCGCGCTCGTGGGTTTGGCCCACCGTGGCCTCCTGAGATTGCGCAGCAGAGGTCACTCTTGCCTATAGGGTCCTTCGTTGCGTGAACGGTGGGTTCGAGTCGTGTCGACTCGGCGGCGACCCCGCCGCGGGCGTTCAGGGTGGATCGCCGCCAGTGGCCCAGATTCGGCCTGGGGACGAATCGGAAGGCCGCCGACCGTCCACGGTTAAAACAGATCCACGCGGTATCAGAATTTGCAGTCAAGACGCCGGAGTAAGAACCACTTTCAGTTCACGAGGGGCTGCGGCTTTGGGGCCGTTCGTTCATCCAGGTCGGGGACCTCCTGCATAGACTGGGCTCGCCGTGGCCAGATGAGCCCCTTATTGTGTGTGATGCTGCGTTTCGTGTGGTAGCACGATGGCTGTAACTCCTGACGTCGGTGCGACACGCACCTGCCCTAGCCGAGGAGCAGGGCAAGTCGCCGCGCCAGTCCATCAGCAAGAAGTACATGCAGGACCTGGAGGCCCTGCTGAGGATGCTGGGCTCGTGCGACCTCCACTATATCAGGTGCTTCAAGCCGAACGAGGAGCAGGCGCCCCACCTGTTCGAGCCGAGGCTCATGCTCGATCAGATTGTGCAGTGTGGCACGATCGAGCTGGTGAACATCATGCACCGCGGCTACCCCCACCGCTGCCCGCTCTCCGACCTGGGGGAGCGGTACAAGGACCTGCTGCCCGACGGCTTCCAGTCCTACGGCTCGAGGACGTTCGTCGAGGCCCTGATGCTGGCGTACGAGGTGCCCCGCGGCCACTGGGCGCTGGGCGTGTCGCGCCTCTTCCTGCGCGCGGGGCAGCTGCAGGCGCTGGAGGACCTGCGCTCGGGGGGGCGCAGGCCCTCCCCGGAGCAGCTGCAGGGCGTCCTCCGCACGCTCGTCCGCCGGCGCTGGCGACGCGCCTGCCAGGCCGTCATGCTCTGCCTCTGGGTCCCGCGGCTCGCCGCTGCCCGCAGGGCGGCGCGGGCCCGCGCGGCCCTGCGCAGCGCCGCGCTGGTGTGCGTCCGCCTCCACCGCCGCCTCGAGGCCGCGAGGCGGCGGCTGCGCGACCGGCACGCCGCCGGGCGCGCCTCCGCGAGCGCGGCGAGGTGCGCGCGCAGGTGGCTGCGGAAGACCCGGGCCGCCCGCGCCGCCCGGGCCGCGGGCGAGGCCGCCGACGACGACGACGATTTCCGCTGCCGACGACAACGACGACGTCGTCGACGACGACGACGACGATGGCCACGACGACGACGATGACGACGACGACGACGACGCCGACGACGACGACGACGACGTCGACGACGACGACGACGACGACGACGACGACGACGACGACGACGACGACGACGACGACGACGACCGCGCCGCCCGGGAAGGCGGCCGAGGCGGCCGTGGTGCTCGAGCTGGACGTCACGAGGAGGGTCTCCTGCGCGACGGAGGCCTGCGACGAGGTGGCGCGCCCGTGCCCCTCGGCCGCCGCCGCCGCGCCCGCGCCCCGGGAGGGCGCCGCCCCAGGCGGCTGCCCTGAAGAGATGCGCGCGCTTATCGATAGGCAGGTGCAGGAGCTCGGCGCGAAGTCCGAGCCCTAGCCTTGTCCAGGCAAGAAGAACCACCCCGACCCCCATGATTGGCCTTTGCTTTAGAGATGGCCCTGAGCGGTTACGAACGGCTCTTCCCTGTTCGATGCCTTCTTTGGGCACGTTTACTAAACGGCTTCGTTCGTCGGTGTGCTTATTGTGAGGGTTCGAGGTTCAAGATGCTTTTTCGGGGGGTGGGGGGGGCGTTTTTGTTGGTTCTCGGCGGGCTTCCAGCCTCGGGATGCCTTCCAGCAGCTGCGCCTCGCCGAGATCGTCCTGGGGGTGCCCTGACACGCCGATGAAGGAATTGGCCGTTCTCGGTTCGCGAGCGGGCGTCGCGGCCGTCCTTTTTGCGGGTCCGGGTCCGTCGGTTTCGGTCCCAGGCCGTTTTCACTAAGGGGAGGTCTACTATCAGGACGGAAAGAAACACACAGACACAATTAATCGTCGACTTCCAGGAAAATATGGGAAACTATGGGAAGTGGGGGGGAAGGCGAAAACCCAGAGAATATGGGAAAATATTGGGAATCCTGTTATTTGTGTGTATTTAGTTGTGTGTCCTGGGGCCCCTTCATACGAAAGGGAGGTTCCTGTCCACCGCCGACTATTCGTCGGCCGCGCGCAGGAAGGGGGGGCAGGGTGAGGGCGGAAGGTTCCTGAGAACCACCCCTGCTTCTCAGAGAAGGCCCAGGAGGGAAAGAAACACACACAGAAACAATGAATCGTCGATTCCCCAGAAGACATGGACAAATAATGGAAGTGGGGGGGAAGACAGAAACCCAGAAGATATGGGAAACTATTGGGGATATGTTCATTTGTGTGCATTTATTCGTGTGTGTCCCAGTTCGCCTTCAAAGGCGCTGGCCTCATCCATAGATGCAAGGCTGGGGCCTTCTGAGAAGCAGGGTGCTTCTGAGAAGCCTTCCCCCCTCCCCCTAATTACCCCCTTTCCCAGAGATCCGATGTCGTGCTTTGTTCGAGACGTGGGCCCCCGACCTCCCGACCGCTTCTCCAGGACTGGTTCTTCATCCCGAGTGGTTTTTGGACGGTCCCGAGGCCCGGCCAAGGCCCCGGGAGGCCGAAAACGACGGAAAAAACCTCCGTCTCGATGTCTTGGAGACGCCCGCTGTCTGGGATAGGAGCGCATCCGGGTGCTGGAGCAGGAGATGTGCCGGAAGCAGCAGGAGGTGCTGCGGCAGATGCGCGCCCTGCAGGAGATGAACGAGAGGCTCGAGCTGGAGCAGGCCAGGGCGGCCGCGGGGGCAGAGGTGCGGGGGGGCCCAACCTGAGATCTCCTCCTCCTCCTCCTCCCTCCTCGTCCTCCTCCTCCTCCTCCTCCTCGTCCTCCTCCTCCTCCTCCTCCTCCTCCTCCTCCCCCTCCTCCTCCTCCCCCCTCCTCCTCCTCCTCCTCCCTCCTCCTCCTCCTCCTCCTCCTCCTCCTCCTCCTCCTCCTCCTCCTCCTCCTCCTCCTCCTCCTCCTCTCCTCCCTGTTGCATTGTAATGTGTATGTTAGCGACGAGTGTCCAGTTCGTGGCTCTGTGCTTTGTGATCGCTCTGATCAAACGCGGCGGTCCAAACGCCCCCGAAACTGAAACATCGTCATCATCATCATCATCATCATCATCATCATCATCATCATTATCATCATCAGCATCATCATCATCATCAGCATCATCACCACCACCACCATCATCATCATCACCATCACCATCACCATCACCATCGTCATCACCAGACTCATCATCATCATCATCATCATCATCATCATCATCATCATCAGTCGTAGCATCATCATCACCATCATCATCAGCAGCAGCATCACCATCACCATCAGCATCAGCATCATCATCATCACCATCATCATCATCATCATCATCATCATCATCATCAGTCGTAGCATCATCATCACCATCATCATCAGCAGCAGCATCACCATCACCATGTGCATCAGCATCATCATCACCATCACCATCACCATCATCATCAGTAGTAGCATCATCACCATCATCATCAGCAGCAGCATCACCATCACCAACACCATCAGCATCATCATCATCATCACCATCATCATCATCATCATCACCATCATCATTATCAGAATCATCATCATCATCGTCATCATCATCATCATCATCGTCGTCGTCGTCGTCATCGTCGTCATCATCATCACCATCATCATCATCGAATCGCAGCCCTGGCGTCGCAATTTGTCCGAACCGGGCGCTCTCGCCTAGTTTCGGGCCCTGGGGCCTTCCAGGGTCCAGCCGGCCCGAAAACCTTGGCGCAGAAAGATGTGGTCTAAGGTACTAACGGTGATTTTGGACGATGTTTCAACATTCTCTATGTGGTGATTTTCGATGTGGTCTAGGGTTCTAACGGTGATTTTCGACGATGTTTCAACATTTTCGCGCCGTCGGATCGCAGGGGACGCCGCTGCTCCCCGGCGACTCTCCCGGGGTGCGTTCCGACCAGGGCTCCGAGGCGAATCCGGCCGTGGCGACCAGGGCCTCTCGGGAGGCCCAGGAAGGCCATATGGGGAGGGGAGGGCAGCGGTCTCCCGACATCCGCCGATCTGCTGTAGCAGTCCGCGGCCCCAGAGGCCCTGACCGCTTCCCTCTAGTTCAGGAGCGAAAGGAGAACGTACACGTGCATGAGTCCACGCTGGTTTCGAGAGAGCTCGCATTGCGCGGATGTTCGTATCACGCGGCCGGTCTCGCGTTTCAAGGGGCCGTGTTTATGTACATAGCTGGGCGCGTACGTTTTTTGTGGGCTCCCTACCAGTGGGAGGTCTCCGTCCCAGCATCCAGGCTTGATGGCCCCGGGGCCCGAGAAACGCACCATGTGGAGAGACAAAAAAACAGACGTGCCGTCGGAGAGACCTGGACATGGGTGCCTTCCCAGAGATCCGATGTAGTGATTTGTTCTATGCGGGGTCCCCGGAAGTCCCGACCCTCTCCCTGGGACCGGTCTTTCGTCCTGAGCTGTTTCTGCCGATCCCGAGGCCCGGCGAGGGCCATGGGAAGCCAAACCTTGCGAAACACCTCCGCCTTGAGTTTTTCACTGCATTGGATCTCTGGGTCCCCAGACATCGGGCGTCTCGAAAAAATCGAGACGGAGGTTTTTCATCATTTTCGGCCTCCTGGGGCCCTCGCCGGGCCTCGGGACCGTCAAAAGCCGACTCGGGATGAAGAACTGGTCCTGGGGACGCGGTCGGGAGGTCGGGGGCCCGCGGCTCGGAAAAAGCACGACGTCGGATCTCTGGGAAAGGGGGTAATTAGGGGGAGGGGGGGAAGGCTTCTCAGAAGCACCCTGCTTCTCAGAAGCCCCGGCCTTGCATCTATGGATGAGGCCAGCGCCTTGGAAGGCGAACTGGGACACACAAATAAATGCACACACATGAAATCGAGACGTCGGCTCTCTGCATGGGTCCCCTGCCCCCGCGGAGGACAGCCAGCCCGGATCCCCTGCCGTGCCGCCGCGGCCGCGGGGCCTGCCGCCGGGCTCCCCGGGCGCGGCGCGGTCGCCGCGGAGGCCCGGCGGCGGCGCGGAGCGGCGGAGGCAGTCGTCGGGCGGCCCCGCGGGGCGGCGGAGCGCCGCCCGCCGTGCGAGCACGGGGGCCGGCCCCGCGGAGGCTTCCGCCTCCTCCTCCGCCTCCTCCTCCGCCTCCTCCTCCGCCTCCTCCTCCGCCTCCTCCTGCCCCCTCGTCTCCTCCTCCTCCTCCTCCTCCTCCTCCCCGCCTCCTGCCCCTCCTCCTCCTCCTGCCCCTCCTCCTCTGCCCCTTCTCCTCCTCCTCCTCGTGCCCCTCCTGCCCTCTGCCTCCTCGCCTCCTCCGCCTCCTCCTCCTCCTCCTCCTCCTCCTCCTGCTCCTCCTCCTCCTGCCCCTCCTGCTCCCCGCCTCTCCTCCTACTGCCCCTCCTCCTCCCCTGCCCCTCCTGCTCCTCCGCCTCCTCCCCGCCTCCTCCGCCTTCCCCTCCTCCTCCTTCCTCCTCCTCCTCCTCCTCCTTTTCCTCCTCCTCCTCCTCCTCCTCCTCCTCCTCCTCCTCCTCCTCCTTCTCCTCCTCCTCCTCTCTCGCACCGCCAGCGCCCGCCACCCCCGGAGCCGCGCCCTTCGCCCGCCGCGGGCCCCTTTGGCGGCCGCGGCCAGGGAGGGCCCACCTTTTTCCGGAGAGGGGGAGGAAGTTCGGGGGCGGAAAAGAGGGGGGTGATGACTAGGGGGGAGGCGTCTTGAAAAAATCAAAACGGAGGTTCTTCCTCGCTTTCGGCCTCTGGAGGCCCTCGCCGGGCCTCGGGACCATCAAAAAACGACTCGGGACGAAAAACCGGTCCCGGGGAAGTGGTCGGAAGGTCAGGGGCCCGTGTCGGGAGCGGCAAAGAGGGGGGTGATGACTAGGGGGGCGGGTGCATATCATGGCGGGGGTCATGATCTTTCCCCAGATTTCATGGCGCCTTTTCTTATTTCATTACGTCCCTGGCACCCCCGCTGGGCCGCGCACATGCCGCCGGTCATGATTTGCACCCTCCCCTCTTGGACACCCCCCTCTTGGCCGCTCCCGAGATGAGGTGGGACGACGACGACGATGACGACGGCAGAGCGGCCAGTGCACGTTGGCGGCTCGGGTGACGTGCATGGGGGCGCCCCGGCTGGCGCCGCCGCGCCTGCGGGCCCACGCCCCCCCCTCCCCCCAGCAACCGCCCAGCGGCGGCAGAAGGTGCAGAGCTCATCGTGACAAGAGCCGTGGCATTTCTACGTCGCGGCGCGTCGAGGAGGCCGCCCACACTCGCATCGTCCATCCTGAGGCCCACGAGGAGAAGGGGGCAGCTGTGAGGAGCGGCCGGGCCGCTCGTGATTTACCCGAGGTAGACGTGGCATCTTGCCAGTAGCGCAGTACTTCTAGTACCCTTGATGTGCACGGGGCCCCTTGCCTGTGGCGCTGTAGACCTGGCACGTGCACCTCATACCCGTTTCCGTAGCACTGCAGTCGTTCGTAATCTTCCCCGGCTTCAGGCAGACCGTTTTCGCCATGACTCCCCAGAGTCGTCGCTTGCCATGTCATAGTATTCACCGTTTCCCCTTTCTTCGTTTGAGTAAGTGCTGTTCTTTTCGTTGCGTTCCTCATGCTCCACGTCGCTTTCGTTGCCCTCGTCGTCGCACTCGTTTTCCTCCTGTCGTCGTAGAAGTTCTGCGGCGTGGACAGGCACGGGTCGCTGGCCTATGGGTATCACGTTCTGGTGCGCTTCGTAGCGGTCGCGGGCGGACAAGAGCGCCTTGACGGCTCCGGAGTGTTCCAGCGCGCGAACCATCGCAACCCCATCCTCGTGGTGGCGATCGCCGCTCACGCGCATGGGCAGCATCATGTCGTGATGCTTGTTGCATGGGCAACATGTCGTTGATGGCCCTGACGGCGAAGGCCTCTCTTGATTGCCTGCTCTGCGGCGATCATGGCCCTGAGGAAGTCCAGGCCCCAGAGCGCAGCGTGCATAATGAAGATGGGTTCGTCCTGCTCGTCGCTCTCCTCGTCCTCCCCTCGTGGCCCACGTAGGCTCAGCTGGTGGCTCTGGGTGTGCTGCTCGTGACCTTCGTAGCTCGGATTGTTGCCCCCGTAGTTCGGCTGGTGGTCCTCGCGGCTGCGTCGGGGGGTCTGGAGGCTCCGCTTTGTGGACTTTGCAGTTCAGCTGGTGGCGCAGGTAGCTCTGCTGCTAGCTTGCTGCTCAGCTCATGTCCGGCGTAGCTCAGCTTTGTGGCCGTTGTAGCCTTGCTGGTGGCCCTCGTAGTCCAGCTGGCGGTCCTCGTAGCCCGGCGCGTGGTCTTCGTAGCTCAGCTTGCCGACCTCGAAGCTCAGCTCGTGGGCCTCGCAGCTGAGGTGGCCCAGCTGGTTGCCCCCGTAGTTCCGCTGGTTGCCCTCCTAGCTCAGGCCAAAGCCCTGCGCCTGCTAGTGGTCGTCTTAGCTCAGCTAGAGGTCCTCGTGGCCTTGCTTGTGGCCCTCGTAGTTGTGCTTGTGGTCCTCGTAGTGTAGCTGGTGGCCCTCGTAGGTTTGTTGGAAGCTCTGGAAACTCAGCAGGTGGCCCATGTAGCTCTGCCAGTGGTTCCCGTTGGGCAGGTTGTTGTACTCGTAGCCCTGCGTGTGAGCCTCGGGCCCTGGGCCTCGTGCCCCTCCGTATGTGGTCCTTGTAGCTCCGCCGGTGGCCCTCGCACCTGGGCCGGCTGCCCTTGCAGCTCTGCTGGTCGCTGTCGCAGCGCTCGCCGGGTGGCCCTGGGAATCGGTACCCTTCCCGGTGCCTCTCGCGGTTCGGCCAGAGGCCCTCGCAGTTCAGCCGGTGGCCCTCTTAGAGTTGGTGGGAGCTCTGGAGGCCGAGGGAGGTCTGTTAGTTCTGAGGTTCCCCCCCTGATTCTCTCGGCGTGGAATGAACTCCGCCCCTCCTCCTGCTCCTCCTCCTGTTCCTCCTCCTCCTCCTTTTCCTCCTCCTCCTCCTCCTCCTCCTCATCATCATCATCATCAGCATCATCATCATCACCACCACCACCACCATCACCATCACCATCACCATCACCATCACCATCATCATCATCATCATCATCATCATCATCATCATCATCATCATCATCATCATCATCATCATCATCATCATCATCATCATCATCATCAGCATCATCATCATCATCATCATCATCATCATCAGCATCATCATCTTCCTCCTCGTAGTCGTAGTAGTCGTCGTCGTTGTTGTTGCGCGGCGGCAGCCGCGGAAAAACAGTTTTTTATCCCACGATTGGTGGGACCCCAGTCCGTCAATCAGGGCGTCGAAGGGATGATTAGTTGTCACTACGGGGTGGGCGGTTCTAAAGACCCATCGCGATTAGATCAGCAGGTGGCCTGGGTAGTTCTGCAAGTAGCTCCCGTAGCACAGGTTGTGGTCCTTGTAGACCTGCTGGTGTCCTCGTAGTTCGTCATGTGGTCCTCGTAGCTCCGCCGGTTGCCTTTGTAGCTCTTCTGGTGGTTCTTGTAGCTCAGCGTGTGACCCTGGCACTTCTCCTGGTGCCTCTCGTGGCTCAGCTGGAGGAACCTCGTCGTGCCGCTTGTCGTCCCCGAAGGTCATCTGGTGACCCTGGTAGCTCTGCTGGTGGCTGTAGCAGTTCAGACGACACACTCTCTTTGTAGTCTCCGGGATCCGAATCGGAGCCGTTAGCTGCCAGGTCGTAGTGTTCTGCGTCCTGTCGGCCAGTGTAGTCGTGGCGATCGTAGGGGTACAAGCCGCTATCGAAAAAGCTGCCGTAGTCGTACTGGTAGTATGCGGCGCAACCGTAGTCGTACTTGTCGTAGGCGGCGCGGCCGTTGTCCACTGGTACCTCCACGACGGCGTACTTAGTAACCCGTTCGGTCTGATCGGTTGTTTCGTTCCTGCTGTCCTGCTGTCGGTCTTGGTGGCTTACTTGGTGTCGTACTGGTGGTGGTCGTCATTGGGCTGTCTGTTACGCATCTCGCTCTCGCAGTTTGGCCGCATGTTACGCAGCTCGTGCTTGGACGCTTTCGCGAGGGCGGCAGTAGCAATGATAACGATGTCGTGGGGTCGAGGCTGTATCCCATGCCGGACGTTCTACCCCGCTCGTTTCTGAGCCGCGTCTGCTCCCGCTCAGGTTCGTTCATGCGTGCTTGGTCTCGGCATCCTTGCAGGCAACTCTCCACAGAGGTGGGTGGTCTTGTGGCCCTCAGCCTGTAGATCTTGAGGTTCGACCTGCACGTCTCGAGGTTCTGCCTGTACATGTTGAGGTCCTGCCTGTGGGTCTCGAGGTTCTGCCTGTGGGTCCTGAGGTTCAGCCTATAGATCTTGAGGTTCCGCCTGTGGGCCTTGAGGTTCCGCCTGCAGGTCCTGGTCTTGTTCGCGGCGCACGCGCGCAGCCACCCTTGCGGCGGCACGCCGAGGCCGGCCCCTCCCCCCCCCACGGGCGCGCGCGCGCGGCTGGGCGCGGTGCCCAGGAGCGAGTGCGGGGGGCCGAGTTCCCGCAAACGGCCTTCGTCCTCCTCCTCCTGCTCCTCTTCCTCATCATCCTGCTCCCCGTCCTCCTCCTCCTCCTCCTCCTCCTCGTCCTGCTCCTCCTCCTCCTCCTCCTCCTCCTCCCCTTCCTCCTCCTATCCGACCGTCGTCTATGACGATTCTGTCCTCGACACGTACTTCGAGGCCCGTGCCCCCGCGGCCCGCCACAGGCGCGCTCGGCCCCGCCGCGTAGGCGGGTGGAGCTGACCTTGGGTACGCTGGGCTCCTCCTCCTCCTCCTCCTCCTCCTCCTTCTCCTCCTCCTCCTCCTCTTCCTCCCCCTCCTGCCCGTCCTCCTCCTCGCTCGCTCGCCCATGCCGTCGCGGCCGCTCCGCGCCCGCGCCGCAGGCACCCGTGTATAGGGCAGCCCGCACACGTGGCAGCGGCTCAAGTGATCTTGTAGGCCACGTCCGCCACTGCCGTACCCCGATAGGGGTGACGTTGACCCTGGCGTTTAGTCGGGCACGTCCTTCTACAGGAGGAATGTTCAGAAATCGTCAAGAACAGTCCGGCGACGATCCCTCGATTCTGTTTGGGCTTTTTTGGGGCATAGTTCAGCTATCTTCAATGTTTCGTCCAAAATCCGCCTGTAGGAGGACATGCCCGACCTAACCCTAATGGCGAGGAGGAAAGAGGGGGGGGGAGGTCGCCTCGACAGGAAAAGGGGGGAGGGGGGTCGCCGTGTGCCGCGAGGGGGAGGAGTGCAACAGGTTACGTCGTAGGTCCCCCCCGGTGGAGACTAGGTAGTCTTCAGAGGACCTAGTGGAACGTCTTGTTTACGGAAGTAAACGAGGACAATGGAGTATGGAATGATGAGTTTGCCGCAGTAGTGTGTGCAGCTTCTGCTGGACATCAATCAGCACGCCAACGTTTCTTACCCGGAGTAAGCAAGAACGGCGAGTCATCGTATATATTCGCTGGTGGCGGGTAGTTGGTTGATGTCGCCTGTAGCAGGTACTGCTGCGTGCTTCTGGAAGTCGCTGTGCTGGTTGATGAAGTGGCCGAACTAGCGGGCTTCCCCGCTCTTGATAGGGTTGTAGACGTGGTTCCCGATGTTCTTGAATATTCTGTTCTGATGGAGCGGGTCGTAGAGCTCCAACTTGGTAAACATATCCGCGGGTAGTGTTCGAATTGCAGGACCATGCATGAGTAAGGGCGTAGCCTTCTTCAGGTCGCCGACGGAGAGCGCCGGGTAAGCCGGTGAGTGTGGCGTACACGTCTTGTCCACACTGGCGATGAATACCTGGGATATCGTTGTTCCCGTGTATTCTTTGGTCTTGATGATCAGGTTGTTGGAGCGCGTAAGCCAGTAGTTGCACTGTAATGGCAGAGGGTTCTGCCAGTGCGGCCCCATGCCCTCGCGCTCGTCTGGTACTGGTATGAGCCGTCTAGACAGGTAGCTATGACGTCCTCCTCCTCCTCCTCCTCCTCCTCCTCCTCCCTCCTCCCTCCTCCCTCCTCCCTCCTCCCTCCTCCCTCCTCCCTCCTCCTCCTTCTAGCGCCAGCTGGCACGAGCCGCCGCTCTGCGCCAGCCAGCGCCATCGGCGCTTCCCCGCGCCGCCTCCCCGCTCTCCCCTGCTCCCGTCCCCTCGGCCGCGCTATGGAGGCGCCTCCCGCGGCCACCGCAAGCCGCCGCAGGCCGCCGCGGAAGGCTGCCGCGCGTCGCGCGCAGTACACGAGGGCCGAGGCGCGCGCGTCAGAACACCTTCTGCGCGCCTTCGCAGCCCTCACCAGCCATCGTGGCCGCCAGCCATCGCAGCTGGCCCAGGCGGTGGCCTCGGCGCTGGCGGCGGCGCCAACGCCCTCTGCGCAGCGGGGCGCAGCGGCCTCTCCCTCTCCGGATGCTGTCGCTCCCGGTGCCCATGGAGGCGACGCGGCGGCTGCAGTCCCCTCGTCTCCGCTGGCAGCGGGACCAGCGGCCATGGCTGCCGAGGCGGGCTTTCCAGTCCACGGGGTTCTCGGTCAGCGGCTGGCGGCAGCGGGCGACGACGTGGTGGTCCCGGAGGGCGAGTTCACCTCCCCCTCTGCCCCCCCCTCTGCACGGCCTCCTTTTCTTCCCCGCGGCACCCCAATCCCAGGCTTTCCGCCTAGGACGCGGGCGGAGGCTGATCCAGGCCCCAGCCCTGCCACTGCTCTAGGCCTCGCGCAGGGCTTATGCCCGCCACCATTTTTTCGGCAAGTCTCTGTACCTTCACGGCCGTCAAAGCCAGTACCACTCCCAGTACGCCCTGCAGCGCCAGCGCCGCCAGCACCTTCACGACCGACAGGGCCGGTGCCAGTACCCTCACGCCAGCCAGAAGCAGTGCCAGTGTCAGTGCCGTCGCCAGTGCAGCCATCATGTACGCCACCGGGGATCACAGCAGCGGAGGCGAGGGCCTGCCGCGCTGTGCTGTCAGCCTCGAGTAATCTGTTCGCGGCCCCGCAGCAGTCACAGGCAGACCCAGTGCCAGGGGCGCAGCTGCCGAGCCCCACTGTGCAGAGTCCGCCACGCCACGACGACTCTAGGCCCTTTTTCACCTGTACCCCAGCACGTGCCGCCTTGGATGCAGCGGCCGCAGCGCGGCGCGCTGCCGCATCTGCCGCGCACCAGTCTCCGCCATAGGCGGCTCGAGTCACCAGCCATCCTCCAGAGCTCAGCCAGTTTTTCCCGCCGAAGGCGGAAAGCCAGAGCACGGAGGGGGATGGGCAGGTATGGCAGTTTTTTGCGGCAGGTCTGGCTGCCCTCTCTGGCCTTCGCGCACAGCTACTCTGCACAGCTCGGCCTCTCCTGAAAGACGGGGTGGAGCCCACGTGGGAGGGGTCGGCCACGCCCTCCTGAAAGACGGGGTCGAGCCCACATGGGAGGGTGTGGTGCCAGCGCCAACTGGCTTCGGCTCAATACGCACAGCGCAATTCGCAGACTCGCCACGGCTGAGCCAAGGCTGCGGCAAGCGTATATGCCTCGTGGGAGGACCGCGGCACTGTGCCTTGGCTTGTTTCTTTGGCCCTCGTCCAGGTGTAGCAGGGTCCCCTTGGTCCCTGTGTGCCTGTGAGGGGCCACACGGAGGTGGGTCTCTGTTGTCTGGTCTCGGCTAGCGCCCAGGCACACCCACCTCCCTGTCGCGGACGGCCCGTCCAGGCCTTTCAGCTGCAGCGGCCGCCCTGCAGCACGGCAATGCCATTTTGGCCCTCTTCCCACTCTTCCCGCCTCATATGGGAACCCCCGCCCTTCCTCCAGTCCAGCACTCCTCCCCTGGAGGTTTGGACAGCCGCACGGCGGCCTGGCCAATTTGGCCCTCCTTCCAGCTCTTCCCTCTCCTTCAGCCGACCGTAACCTGGACGGCACACCTAGGCAGGTCTCTCCTTTTTCCAGCCTTGTACTGCTCTTTGCCTCGAGGGCTGCCCTGCTATGGGCAACGAAGCAGGGCCCCGCTGATGTCTCTCTTCGCACGGAGCTGCGAACTCCTCCTCTCTCTTATAAGATTCCTCTCTTCCCCTCCAGCAGCGCCAATACCTCTCTCCCGACAGTTTTCGGGACGAGAGCGGAAGCAGCTCAGCGTCCATGCTTTCGGGCTTCTCGTGTGCAGCCTGTGCCAGTCCTGTTGGCCTCAACGCTCAAGCTACTTGCAACGAGCCTAGTGTAGTCAAAAAAGCCTCCTCCTTCTCCTCCTCCTCCTCCTCCTCCTCCTCCTCCCTCCTGCTCCTCCTCCTCCTCCTCCTCCTCCTCCTCCTCCTCCTCCGCCTCCTCCTCCTCCCTCCTCCCTCCTCCTCCTCCTCCTCGTCCTCCTCCTCCTCCTCCTTCTTCCCCTCCTCCCTCCTCCCTCCTCTTCCGCCTCCTCCTCCCCCTCCTCCTCCTCCCCTCCCCGCCTCCTCCTCCCTCCTCCTCCTCGTCTCCCTCCCCTCCTACTCCCGCCTCCCTTCTCCTCCTCCTTCTCCTCATCCCCCGCATCCTCTCTCTCTCTCTCCTCCTCCCCGTCTCTTCCTTCTCCTTCCTCCTCCTCCTCCTCCTCCTCCTCCTCCTCCTCCCCTCTCCTCCTCCCCCCCCTCCTCCCCCCCCTCCCTCCTCCTCCTCCTCCCCTCCTCCCCTCCTCCTTTCCTCCCTATTCCTCCTCTCCTCCTCCTCTCCTCCCTCCCTCCTCCCTCCCTTCCTCCCCCTCCTCCCCCCCTCCCTCCCTCCCCTCCCTGCTTCCCTCCTTTTCCTCCTTCTCCTCCTCTCCTCCTCCTCCTCCTCCTTTCATCATCATCCCCCCTCCCCTCTCCTCCTCCTCCTCCTCCTCCTCCTCCTCCTCCTCCTCCTGCTCCTGCTCCTCCTCCTCCTCCCCTCCTCCTCCTTCCTTCCTCCTCCGCTCTCCTCCTCGTCCTGCTCCTGCTCCTGCTCCTCCTCTCCTCCTCCTCCCTCCTCCTCTCCTCCTCCTCCCCCCTCCCTCCCTCCTCCTTCCCCCCCTCCCTCCTCCTCCCTCCCTCCCTCCCTCCCCCTCTTCCTCCTCCCCCCCTCCTCCTCCTCCTCCTCCTCCTCCTCCCTCTCCCTCCCCTCCTCCTCCCTCCTCCTCTCCTCGCCGTCCTCCTCTTCCCTCTTCCTCCTCCTCCCTCCTCCCCTCCTCCTCCTCCCCTCCTCCTCCCTCCTCCCTCCCTCCCTCTCCCTCCCTCCCTCCCCTCCCTCCTCCTCCCCCTCCTCTCCCTCCCTCCCTCTCCTCCCTTCTCCTCCCTCCTCTCCTCCTCCTCCTCATCCCCTCCCTCCTCCTCCCCCTCCTCCTCCTCCTCCTCATCAGCAAATCTCGCACGCACCTCCTCCTCCCTCCTCTGCCCCCGCGGAGGCTCCCTTGCGCCGGGCGCTCGGCGCCGTGCGCGAGGATCGGCTTCACGCCAGCGTGGGCAAGTTCCCCCCGGGTCGTGAAGCAAATCGAGGCTTTCGATGTTCCAACCTATTGTAGCCTTGATCACCAGAAAAAAATCCAGCACCAAGAAAGTACCGAAACTCAAGGTTTTCACGTGTCGGCCCTGGGAGACTCGTCCGAGACTGTTCCCGCACTGTCTCGACACTCTTTCGACACTTTTCTGGGTGCGCGAATTTTTTTGGGGATGTGATCCTTGAGTACGATGGGAGCAACATAAATCGAGGCAGCAGGCGCTGCGTATTGATTTCGGAGCCCAGGGGGGCCCTGGTCAGGCAGCAGGGCCGTCAGACACCGGCTCCCCAGAGAGCCGGGGCCCCAGAAGAACTGGAGCGTGCGGTTTTGGGGCTGATTACTTCTGCCTCCGGGGTCCTCGGCGGGCCTCGGGACCGTCAGAAAACCCAGACCCCCTCGAGTTATGAAAAAATCACGACGGGAGGTTTTTCATTATTTTTGGCCTCTGGGGGCCCTCGGGACCGTCAAAAAACGATTCAGGACGAAAAACCGGTCCCGGGGAATGGGTCGATACCTCGGGGGGTCGACGTCATGAAAAAATCATGACGTCGGGGGTCTGGGAACGTCTCGGGGCGAGAAGCGGGCCCCAGGGAAGTGGTCCAGACCTTTGGGGCTTGGAGCAGCCAGATGCCCAGACATCCGACGTCTCGATTTTTTCGAGACACGGGTCCCCGGCCTCCCGACCACTTCCCCAGGGCCGGTGTTTCGCCCCGAGTCGTGTTTTGACAGTCCCGAGGCCCGGCGAGGGCCCCGAGAGGCCGGAAACGACGAAAAACCTCCGTCTCGATTTTTTCGAGACGCCCGATGCCTGGGTGCCTCGGTCAGGCTGAGACGGTGGTCCCGGGGAGTTGGTGGAGACCTCCGGGGGTCGACGTCAGAGGAGCCACAGTCATGACCCAGACCCCCGACGTCATGATTTGTTATGACGCGACCCCCAGAGGTCCGGACCCATTCCCCGGGACCGGCGTTTCATCCTGAGTCGTTTTTTGACGGGCCTGAGGGCCGGTAAGGGCCCCCGGAGGCCGAAAATAGCGTAAAACCTCGCGTCGTGATTTTTTCATAGCTCGAGGGGGTCTGGGGACGCCGGCCAGTCCGGGAAGGGGCACTTCGCTGGGGTGGCCCGGTGGGGCCGCGGCGAGTCGGGGGCGCGGCGGGGCCCATAGCTCGAGCCCGCGCGCCGCCCCCACCGCTGGCAGCGGCCGGCGAGCCGCACGAGGCGGCCGCTCCTGCCTGGCCCTGAGATCCCATGGGCCCGATCTTTCCTTGCTGTCTTTCGAGCCGGAGCCAGACATGGGGCGTCTCGAAAAAATCGAGACGAGGGTTTTTCGTTGGTTTCGGCCTCCCGGGGCCCTCGCCGGGCCTCGGGACCGTCAGAAACCGACGCGGGATGAAGAACTGGTCCCGGGGCAAGGGTCGGGAGGTCGGGGGCCCGCGTCTCAAAAAAATCGAGACGTCGGATGTCTGGGTCTTTCGAGCCGGACCGATGTGAGAGGGTCCCCGGGCCCGAAACCCAACGCCCGGCCCGAAATGAGGAAGGGGGGCCTTAGGGAGGACCACTCTGCGTGCAGCCGAGAGGACGGCCCGGAGTGGTGGGCCGTGCAGCGGCAGCTCCTCACCGAGGACCTCTCGCTCCACGGCGTTCGCAGGTCGGCCACTGCAAAGGGGGTGGTTACGCCGGGGTGTAGTAATGTTTGCGATCGTCAAGCGGCGGCGAACCCAGACCCCCTCGAGTAATGAAAAAATCATGACGGGAGGTTTTCCTTAATTTTCGGCCTCCGGGGGCCCTCACCGGGCCTCGGGAGCGTCAAAAAACGACTCAGGATGCAAAGCCGGTCATGGGGAAAGGGTCGGGACCTCTGGGGGTCGACGTAATGAAAAAATCATTACGTCGGGGGTCTGGGAAGCGTCCTGGATTTGCTTATAGGCCTACCACGGAATATTCTAAGAAGAATGTGCTGGGGGTTGCACAGCATGTTCTCAGAACATTTCTGGCCGAGGCTGCGCTGTTTGAGCACATCGGGTACGTATTCCAATCATATCGCACTTGTGTCTGGAACAGTGTTCGGTTCTGGCGCATCTTTTGGAGAGGGGGGGAAAGGGGGGCGGGCGAGGGACGCGGACAGCCGATGCTCATCGTGCGCGTGATCCCTCGCGCTGCAGTGCCAGGGCCTCGCCGTAAAAGTGCGGCCACCTCCTGCAGTCAGCATCACGTCGCCCACGGTGGAACCACCGCGCCGAGCGAGACCGCTCTTCCCAGACCCCCGACGTAATGTTTTTGTTCATGACGCGACCCCCAGAGGTCCGGACCCATTCCCCGGTACCGGTTTTTCGTCCTGAGTCGTTTTTTGACGCTCCCGCGGCCCGGTGAGGGCCCCCGGAGGCCGAAAATTAGGAAAAACCTCCCGTCGTGTTTTTTTCATTACTCGAGGGGGTCTGGGTATCGCTCACGGTGGAACAACCGCGCCGAACGAGACCGCTCTTGGCGGCAGACTCCTCTGCCGCCCGCCGCCGCGTCGACCTGGTGACGGCCACACTGCGCCCCTGAGTCTCGGCGAACACTCGCGCGTGCGCGAACCCGCACCGGGGATGACGGCGGGACTCGCACCTGTGTGCCCAGCGCGAGGGGGGAGGGGGCAGAAGGGAGGAACAGAGAGTCGGAGACCCGAGTCATCAGGGGTAACTCGGGGCAGGGCCAACTCGGGTTCGTTTTTCGGGCATCCGAGCCCGAGTTGCCCCGGGCCCGAGTGACCCCGGATAACTCGGGCGCCCAAGAGAGGGAGGCCAGGCACAGAAGGGAGGACACTCAAAGGCGTCCGCGGAAAACCCCACTGCGGGGACAGAGGCGCCAAGCCCAGAGGTCGGGTGGGGGGTAATGGGGGGTGACCCACATGGGGAGGAAAAAGAAAAGGGCCCTGAAGGGGCCCTTTGGGGCCCCTTTTTGGAGCCAGCTGGTGCTCTCAAGGGCCCCATTTAGAGCCTTTCTCTTCACACCCCAGTTGGGTCACCCCCCATTGCCACCCGTCCGAACAGGGTCGGCGAAACTGACAGCGGGCAATCAGAAACTACCACGTTGCGAACTCTTTTATCAGCTATGAGCCAAAGCCGTGCGCCCTGCCTCCTGCCACTCCAGCGCGAGTGCCGAGGGCCGACCATTAGCGGGCTGCTGAGGGGCGAAGCGGTCCGGAGTGCCGCCAGAACGGACCTGCACCCCCGACCCCGAAGAGGAGGGAGGACAAGGACGAGGAGGAGGAGGCAAGGCGGAGGACCTGGTGCCCACGGGGCAACGCACACAGCGCAGGAGCTTAACACAAAAAACAACATTGTATTTTTCGTCGGCGGCGAGGCAGAGTTGGCTACACCAGCGAAGGAGCCAGGTGGGGGCGCCGAAAAGCGAATTGGCCGGCGTGCCAGAGGGGGAAAACGGGGAGGCAAAGCGGCCGCGGAGGGGGGGGGAAAGAGGAGGCCTCTCAGGGGCGGACGGGTTGGTTCCAAGAGCATGTCGTGGTAGGCCTATAGGAATGCCGGGACGGTCGGTCCCTGCTCAAGATCGGCGCCGTTGGGGCCCCAGTGGTCACCAGAATGCGCTAAAAGTTGGATGAGTCCTCGCAGGGGCACGGCAAAGACCTCTGTCGAGATCTTTGCCCGGCCCCGCCCCAGGGTGCGGGTTGCAGACCATACCGTTTGCAAACCGCACCCTTCCCAGACCCCTGGAGGTCTCGACCCACTCCCCAGGATCTGTCTGTTCATCCTGATTGTTATTTGTTCAGGGTTTCGATGCCCCGCAAGAGCACCTGGAGGCCGAATATAGCGAAAAACTCCATGCCGTGATCTTTTTTTATGAACCGAGCGGGTCTGGGTTCGGAGTCGCTGAACAGGGGTCAGGCCGGACGAACAGGGAGGATAGGGATAAGAGTGGATTACGAAATTTGCTGCGTGCAGCTGGTTTCGGCACCGCCGCCGGGCCCATTCCTCGATATATGGGCGCCTCCCGGCGCCAGGAGGCGCCAGGAAAACCAGCGACGTGAGCTGATTCCCTACCCTACCCCAGACATCCGGCTGCTAGAACATATGCGGTGTTGGGTCCTCGTTTTGGAGAGGCAGCGCCCCGCGTTTTTGTTCCTTCCTTCCTTCCTCCTCCTCCTTCTCCTTCTCCTCCTCCTCCCCCGCCTGGTCCTTTTTTCATCAGCTGCTGTGCTGGAATCCGGCGCGTGCGAAGAGGAGCCCAGTCCTTCTCGGGGCTTCCTGGAGTTCTCGCTCGGCCCGGGGACGGCCCGAGGCGACCTGAGCTCCCACGGCGGCACTAAACCGCTGGGCATCGCGACCTGTGTAGGCCCGCAACTCTCCCGCGACACTCCTCCGCCTCCTCCTCCTCCTCCTCCTCCTCCTCCTCCTCCTCCTCCTCCTCCTCCCCAGACCCCCTCGAGTAATGAAAAAATCACGACGGGAGGTTTTTCCTAATTTTCGGCCTCCGGGGGCCCTGACCGGCCCTCGGGACCGTCAAAAAACGACTCAGGACAAAAAGCCGGTCCCGGGGAATGGGTCGAGACCTCGGGGGGTCGACGTCATGAAAAAATCATGACGTCGGGGGTCTGGGTCCCCCCCCCTTTATATTCGATATCAGTTCAGCTTGTGCCGCCCATTTTGGCACACCCCTCACACGCTCCGTGGCCCCTATGGGGAGCTCCGCCGAAGGCCCGAGTGGCAGCGTTCGCACGGTGGCCCCGCGCCCTTTTCGGCACACCCCTCCCACGCTTCGTGGCCCCATAGGGAGCTCCACCGGAGGCCCCAGTTGCAGCGTTCGCATGGTGGCCCCGCGCCCTTTTCGGCACACCCTTCACACGCTGCGAGGCCCCATAGGGAGCTCCAGGGAAGGCCCCAGTGGCACTCCGTAGCCATTTTGACTCAAGCCAGTTTGGCTCAAGCCTCCTGGCACCAACGGGATAGCTCTGTTCCCCGAGCCCGCGATTCAGTTTTTCGTGAAGCCAGGTCCGCCCCTGGTCTTCACTTGCCCCCCTCAGCCCGAGGGTGCGCAGTCATTATTCGACTCTTGCTGGTCTCGTGGACCTTCTGGCTCTCATGGCGAAGTGCTGGCAGTGCTTGCGTTGCGGTGGCGAAGCCCCAGACCCTCTCACTCTGTCTCAAGGCTGGCTGTAGGGGCTCCCAGGAGGACGAACATTCCAGCAGCAGGAGACGGCAGCCCAAAGCCACGGGGCACCAAGTGGTCTGTCGGCGGCAGCAAGGCTGCAACCCCATGTGCGCAACAGCATGGCAAAGGCTGACGAGGTGGACGTGGAGGCATAGGGCTCGGACCTGCCGGCGGAGGGCCCTCGTCTCCCACGACTCTCACCCTCACGGCAGACAAGATCGCAGCCTATGCAGTTATGGCCATGGAGTCCTACGACGTCGTCAAGGACCATCTCTCCAGGAGCAGCCGTGACAAGATTGAGCTGGCACGCCGAAAGGCAGCCGCCGGCGTCTTGGGCTCGGAGGCTCGGAAGATACCTCTGGCGGTGGACGCTGCCTCGATAGCCGTGGCCGACGCCACCGCAAAGCGTGAACGCCTTCTCGAGAACTCTCGCAAGACTCTGGAGGCGCTGGCCGAGTCCGAGCGGGCCCTCGCCGAGCGCAAGGCCGAGCTCGAGGAGGCCAAGAATCAGACAGCTAGGCTCTACTCTTCCACCACGGCTGACGAGACACTTCGCACGGTCAAGGAGGAGGTCGCGGCCATCCCCACGGAGGGCAAGTCGGGGGCAGAGGTCTCGGCAAGCCTCTCCGCGCTCTTCGACGAGTTGGCATCTGCAGCAGCGCCTCCGCCAGGTGGTAACGTCGCTGCAGCCGCTGGTGCGGCAGCTGGGGCAGCTGGGGACTCAGCTGTGGGCGAGAGCGAAGACGACTTCGACAAGTTCATGGCCTCTTGGGCAGCGCAGCGGACGAGAACGAAACGAAGCGGCTCCAGGAGGCGCTCGACTCCATCAGGGCCGCCAAGCGTTCCAAGACCTCTGGAGGGTAGGGGACGCGACGCTGGGCTTGGTGGCAATCGCTTTATTCTGCCCAAGAGGGCATGCGCGCAGGCGGGGCGCCTGTGGATCGGCCTCACCGTCAACTGCAACGCGTGGTCGCGCTTCACCCAGCTCCTGGGCGCGGCCGCGGTGAGTTGCTGCGACTTCGTCGCCGTCCAGGAGACGCATCTCGACGCCCAGCGGGCGCGCGACGTTCACAGGCAGCTCCGCAGGCTCGGATGGGTCACGGAAGCAGCGCCAGCGATCGACGCTGGATCAGGGTGCCAGGGCAGCGGGGAGCTCGTCCACATGGCGCCTCACCATCTTGGGCTCGGGCCGTTCGAGCTGCCCGGCAAGCCCGCTGCGCTGGTCCCTGGGCGCGCTATCATCTCCCATTCCAACGGCGTATGCAGAGGGGGAATTGCGCGGGCCATCCTTTACCTGGAGGTCAGCGTCGGCCTCGACCGGGGCAACGCCGACACACTGCACGAGGTGCTCAGGGCCCTGGAAGCGGCCCACAGGCCGTTCGCGGTCTGCGGCGATTTCAATATGGCGCCGCCCGACTTAGCAGAGTCGGGCTGGCTGGAGGCGGCCCAAGCAGTCGTTGCGGCCCCCGCGGAGCCCACGTGTAGGCCTGCTGACCACATC